TTCTAGTACTAATGTTTACATTAAAAAGTGGGACTATAAATTTATGTAGATTGCAGAAGGAGGGGAGGGAGGGGGAGGGAGGGGAGGGGGGAAGTTCCACAACATATTAAAGTTATTATAAACCATATTAGTTCAACGATGGAATAATGAATATAATTTGGAGTACCATTACAATATTATAATATCACCACTTACCAAATTTGTCTGGAGGTCACCTGAATGCCGTAGAAACACCCACAATCCATCTCTAATTACAAAGAAATTAAACAGGCCAGATAATTCTTTATAAAAGAACAAATTATTTGGTTGTGGGTGGAAAGATATTCCTTATCTTTACATTCACCATCCAATTTCAAAGTCTTGCCAAGTCACTATTTTTTCACATTCTGCAGGACCGTGACTCCAATTTTTTCTTGCTCCTATTCGGTTTAGTGTTAGTATCACTAAACGGTAGGTGTGTTGGTAGGGTTGGGAGCAGGGTAGCACTGGGATGGGTTGAGTTCCCGGGGACTGTCACTTTTGTTTGTTTTGGAGATAGTTGAGGTTCGAATGTGGTAAAGAGAGTGAGTGGTAGCGGCGTATGTGGGTGTGCAAACGTTAAGCATGAAGGGGGTATGGTGGTGGGGGGGAAAGAGTACATGCGGATTTTAAGGACTGGGGTTCTGACTTAAGACGGAAGGTGTAGACTGTGAGAGTGGACTTTAGTATAATATACTTGGTATGGGGACAGAGGCAGGGGGCGGGGGCCTTTCTGACGTGTTCAGGGGCCAGGATGGTTTTTGAATGCTAGTAGTAGTAGTACGGCTCTTCATATGTATTATAGGCCTTATGTACGGTATCAGATTTTTTTTTTTTTTTATTTCCCTGTGAGGTTGATACTCTAGGGGGTAATTACACTTTGCAATTCTTGGAATATTAACTGAAACATTGTATGTCTTTTATATAAATGAATTTTGGAAAGTTGCCTTTGTATGTTTAAAAGTTTTTCTTGAGTGATGTGGACCTGTTTTTATGTAAACGATGGTACATACTAATGTTATGTGTTCTCATATACAAATGCTGTAAGACATGTGCAACTAGTAGACTGTAGCTTTGGATTAACTCTGTGGCACTCGATGTATGCACAAGGCTTATTCCTCTAAGAAAAAGGAGCAGATGTAAAATAGAAAGAGATATGCGCTCCCTTTACAGGCGACGGAAAAGAATAACAGAACGGCTAAAAGAGGCCAATATATCTGAAATGCGTAGGGAGTCACTGGTCAGAGAAATAGCAAGCATCGAACTTAAGCTAAAGGAATCTTATAGGAGTCAGGAATCGCGGGAAGAACAATAAGCCATAAATGAAATCGAAAGAAACCCAAAGTATTTCTTTTCCTATGCCAAATCAAAGTAGAGAACAACGTCCAGTATTGGGCCCCTACTTAAACAAGATGGGTCCTACACAGATGACAGCAAGGAAATGAGTGAGCTACTCAAGTCCAAATATGATTCAGTTTTTAGCAAGCCGCTAACCAGACTGGAGTCGAAGATCAAAATGAATTTTTTATGAGAGAGCCACAGAATTTGGTTAACACAAGCCTATCTGATGTTATCCTGATGCCAAATGACTTCGAACAGGCGATAAATGGCATGCCCATGCACTCTGCCCCAGGGCCAGACTCATGGAACTCCGTGTTCATCAAGAACTGCAAGAAGCCCCTATCACGAGCTTTTACCATCCTATGGAGAGGGAGCATGGACACGTGGGTTGTCCCACAGTTACTAAAAACAACAGACATAGCCCCACTCCACAAAGGGGGCAGTAGAACAATAGCAAAGAACTACAGACCGATAGCACTAACATCCCATATCATAAGAATCTTTGAAAGGGTCCTAAGAAGCAAGATCGCCACCCAAAATGGGTTTAGAACAGGTCGCTCCTGTCTGTCTCAACTATTGGAGCACTATGACAAGGTCCTAGATGCACTAGAAGAGAAAAAGAATGCAGATGTAATATATACAGACTTTGCAAAAGCCTTCGACAAGTGTGACCATGGCGTAATAATGCACAAAATGCATGCTAAAGAAATAACAGGAAAAGTTGGTCGATGTATCTATAATTTCCTCACAAACAGAACACAAAGAGTAGTAGTGAGCAGAGTAAAGTCCGAGGCATCTACGGTGAAAAGCTCTGTTCCACAAGGCACAGTACTCGCTCCCATCTTGTTCCTCATCCTTGTATCTGACATAGACAAGGATGTCAGGCACAGCACCGTGTCTTCCTTTGCAGATGACACCCGAATCTGCATGACAGTGTCTTCCATTGCAGACACTGCAAGGCTCCAGGCGGACATCAACCAAATCTTTCAGTGGGCTGCAGAAAACAATATGAAGTTCAATGATGAGAAATTTCAATTACTCAGATATGGTAAACACGAGGAAATTAAATCTTCATCAGAGTACAAAACAAATTCCGGCCACAAAATAGAGCGTAACACCAACGTCAAAGACCTGGGAGTGATCATGTCGGAGGATCTCACCTTCAAGGACCATAACATTGTATCAATCGCATCTGCTAGAAAAATGACAGGATAGATAATGAGAACCTTCAAAACTAGGGATGCCAAGCCCATGATGACACTCTTCAGGTCACTTGTTCTATCTAGGCTGGAATATTGCTGCACACTAACAGCACCTTTCAAGGCAGGTGAAATTGCTGACCTACAAAAATGTACAGAGAACCTTCACGGCGCGCATAACGAAGATAAAACATCTCAATTACTGGGAGCGCTTGAGGTTCCTAAACCTGTATTCCCTGGAACGCAGGCGGGAGAGATACATGATTATATACACAAGGAAAATCCTAGAGGGACTAGTACCGAACTTGCACACAAAAATCGCTCACTCCGAAAGCAAAAGACTTGGCAGACGATGCACCATCCCCCCAATGAAAAGTAGGGGTGTCACTAGCACGTTAAGAGACCATACAATAAGTGTCAGGGGCCCGAGACTGTTCAACTGCTTCCCAGCATACATAAGGGGGATTACCAATAGACCCCTGGCAGTCTTCAAGCTGGCACTGGACAAGCCCCTAAAGTTGGTACCTGACCAGCAGGGCTGTGGCTCGTACATTGGTTTGCGTGCAGCCAGCAGTAACAGCCTGGTTGATCAGGCTCTGATCCACCAGGAGGCCTGGTCACAGACCGGGCCGCGGGGGCGTTGACCCCCGGAACTCTCTCCAGGTAAACTCCACGTATGTTTTAGGACCTTTGGTGTAATTTGAGTTTTATGTGTTAAGTCCTTTTGTGTTGTAAGTTAATGATATATTTGGACTGGATTGTATATATGTACTTTTAGGTTAAAGCATAAGTTCTGTGTACACTTTTCGTAGCCTTCCTTTCTTTTCACTCAGATAAAGGGGGGGGTTGCCTGGGGACAGGGGGGCTTAGTTTATGGGGTGTTATGGATAATACCATGCTATGTTACTTTGTATTAGGGTTGAATTGGGTATTGGTATTGGAAACAGGAGGTACCTTATCGTTGAAATTTTGAAGGTGTTTGAGTACGGTACTTTCCTTAAGTAAATTACTGTTTATCTTTGTACCCTATTGATGTACGATGTTAATAATTGTATGTACTCTGTATATGTATTGTCATTCTAAATAAAAAAAAAAATCACTACTTTCTTCACAGTTTACAGTGTAGTACATTACCGCATTATTAACTGTTCATCTGTGGCCGATTTACTGTAATTTGTCCTCGATGAAACGTGATTAATTAGTCAGTTATTGATAACACATATCAACACATTTCATTTAATGGCGACTCTCCCTCCACCGGACGCTACTTGTTTGATTGTTCCCTTTTTCATTCCCAAATTAATTTTTAACCAACAACAACACATTTCATTGAATTACATTCTAAAATTATGCACTATAGTTTCGGAAAATATACAAAATTTTCCACATTTTCCACATTTGATTTTATATATTAAATATAAAATCAAATGTGGCAGACAAATCATGTGAAAATCACACACAAAACAAGTTATATAAAATATTGCCACAACAATGAATACAATAATCCTCCATCATGTATGTAAAGAAATTGTCGTCAGAGGAAATAAAGAATGAATCAATTACACACAAGTCCGCACAAAGTAAAATCAGACACAATCACCATAGAACTAGTAAGTAAATAAACTGCCCAAATTCCCTGTAATTTATTATGTTAGGATAACTCAAGATTTAGACTATTTTTTAATGGAAACTCATTGTTTCTTCATCCTAGCTAATTATTATTTATATTCAAAACAAAGCGCTAAACCTACAAGGGTCATCTTAGGTAATGTATTCCATTTTTTTAACATGCTGGCCGTCTCCCACCGATACAGGGTGACCAGAAAAAGAAATATTTTCACCATCATTCACATTATCACTGTTTTGCCTGAGGCGCGTAAATACAATAGTTTATCTTAAACTCCTCTTTAGAGCACAGGCATTGTACTTCCCACTTCCAGGACTAAAGTCCGGCTAACCAGTTTCCCTGAATCCCTTCACAAAATATTACCCTGCTCACACTCCAATTAGCGCTCTCTTCAATTTTAATAATAATAATAACAATAATAATAATAATAATAATAATGCTCACACTCCATATATTGCACATAACTGGCCTTTTAATATAGGTGGCCCCCACAGCAAAGATCTAATTGGTTCTGAGCTATTGCCAGTTGCCTAATTAGCCCAGATGAGTCATTGCTAGTTTCTCCGACATAAGCTGAACTGTTACTTCCAACAGGTACATGTTATTGAAAGGTGTTCAGTTTCTGAAGAGAAGGAAGAAACATTGATCAGGTAGTTGTAAGTCAGGGGATGCCTGTATATCATGGCTGTCATTTGACAATACTTTACTGATATACAGAATAATACTGCATCAATGCTTAATTCCTTGGAATGAACTGTAGAGGCAGGGGAATCTTTGGCTGTAGCAACGTATTCCATTCTTGCTGTGGTGGAGTGTTGTTTGTTGCCACCAAATGAAACTTCAGCAGCAATCGACACAGGCCAACATACAAATCCTGCTCTGCAAACCTGCGACCTGTAGCGTGATAAACGTAACAAGAGGCTTTTAAAATAGATGAATGCAATAATTTGCCATATAAAACATGCTACAAGCAATACTACAGTAAAATTCACTTAAATTGTATCAAAAACTAAAAACCAAGTTCAGTATGTGTACGAACAAACCTGCACACATCCGAGTACCAATACTGAATGGGTTGTGGACGTAAGGATCTACGTGTGTACTTCCGGGCAAGTCTCTAAGCCAGCGTTCAGGACGCAACATGCCTGGGTCTTCGAAATAGTGATCACTTTGTAACCAAATGTAAGCATTTAAATCAACGGAAGTCTGAAATAAAATTACGAACATAACTGTCCTTTTCATTTTAGTTAATAAAGTATACAAATCAACATTTAAATAATCATTTCAATAACACAATGTGTCTCATAACATAAAAATATACCAAAAAATACTGGACTGTAACACGAATGAAATGTTTGCCATCAATCATGTACCAAACATTAACAATTAACCCTTTGTCTGTCCGAACGTAGATCTACATTCTCTCGCCAGTGCTCGAATATTCTGAAAAAAAATCTAAAATAAAGAGGACATTTTTTTACATGTAATAATCTAAAAAACAATTTTTAGAGTCAGTACTTACGGAGATATAAGGCCGCAAAGTTGGTGCTTGTCGCTTACCTGACGGCAACATGAAGTGCTGCCGCTTGCAGAAGTGTTGCAGATATACCTTGTTTCTCATTTTTTTAATTAATATAATTTTTATGTTCTGATAATTACAATTTTTGTAGTAGTAGTTCTTGTGGTTTCATAGCCAATCTTTGTTCTGACACTAATATTAGGTACTGAAATAGTACTCAAATAGTCACATACACAGTGACAGGTATACATTTTCACCTACCTTAGTCACATACTGTTGTCTAGAAATATACACATAGTATTTTTAGGTCCCAGCAATGTTTTGGACATGCCGGAGTATATATGAAACTCCTTGAAGCATGGTGTAAGACGAGTGTCACTCCACTGCTGACAGTGCAGCAGTGGAGTGATATTTGATGATCGTGCACTGCCTTGGCTTTATTTGTTTTCACTGTTACATATAAACATGTCTGTCTGTCTGTCTAGCTCTCTGTTTATCTCTGTCTCTGCTTATCTATTTCTCTGTCTTGTCTCTCTTTCTGTCTGCTTGTCTCTCTTTCTGTTTCAGAGAGAACGACTCGTGAACCAAGAGGTATTACACACGATGCAGAGTAGTCATCTCTGATTCCTGATCAGGTGAAAATGCGTATTACTTGCCAGTCATGCTTATTATGCATTATATCTACAGGCACAGTATAGCACTTTGTCTAGATTTTTGGGGTTATCCTAGGCAATTTACATTATGTATAATTGTATTTATGTGTATCTGTGATACAGAGACAGAAACAGACAAAGAGATAGAGAGATAGAGACAAGATAGACAGAGATAAATACTGACAGACAGATGGAGAAAGAGACAGCCAATCAGCCAACCACCCAGTTAAATAGCTGGCCAGCTAACTGATAATTCTCCACTTATTGTAAATAATTTATCAATTAAACTTTATAATAGGTATGTATAGGGCATACATATAGGGTTTGCTACTATCTGAGGTTTTGGTATCCATGGCAGGTCCTTGGAATGTATTCCCTGTGGATACGGGGGTTCTATTGTAATTAAATTTTCTGAAGATAAGATTATTAAATAAGGTGAAAGTTTAAAAACCAAGGGACGAGGAAGTTATGGTGAGATATAAACAACTGGCGTAGAAGAAGTTAGGAATAGTTTTAAAAATGCAGTCTTAGAATATGGGACAGAAGTTTGTGGATATAGGAGGGTGGGTGCAGGAGGAAAGAGGAGTGATCGGTGGAATGATGGATTCTTGGTAGGCATGTATTTAACTTATAGATTTACTCTTCAGGGAAGGAGTAGGTAGTTTTACTGTTAGTATATTAATATTAGATTATTAAGGCAACTGTAGATAATAATAATGTAGACCTAAGACCTTAACATAGGTAGTAATAGGCCGATAATGTAGGCAAACACTAGGATAAGTTAGCTAGGGAGAACTGGCAGCCCTAGCTTGAATGACGAGACGAGGGTCTGGAAGAGGGACCAGCTCGTTCTTCTTAAGACAGACACCATCTGGACAACACGTGCCGTGATCAGCAGACGGCGCCCCCCACGTGTCTTCACATCTGAGACCTGGGGAAATCTGGTAGAGGCACCTCGATGTACCGTAGATGACCTCCTCCGTCAGGCCCATACAGTAAGACAAAACCTCCACTGTTTCTCGTAGATTACTGGCCAGTGTCTTGGGAGATTGTGAGTGAGTCGATCTGTGGGCCCGGTTGCAACAGGTTGAGCATGCCCAGTAAGTACCAGTGTCTTAGAGCAGTCTGGAAGCTAGTGTATGAGTCTGCATAGTTATACTAGGGGATACATACCCTCTTGGATATAGGAATTTCTGAGGTGCAGGCAGGACACTAATTACGATTGAATATTGCAGGAATTAATGCTCCCGGTTGCACGTGGTTTCTGAGGGGAAGTCCAAAGGGGCTAAGGCTAAGCTTAGGGAAGTGAAGGTCAGGATATATGCTGCAACACCAAGTAAGTTAGTCCTTTATACGTGCATGCAGGCGAGTTTTCTTGTAACATCAATCATTTCTGAAAATCTGTCCTATAAGCCACTTGTGAGGCTGAGGTACCCACCTCAGAGCTCGGTGTCAAGCAGAGTTTGCCAGGGTAGGCGACTCACTTGGAGGCAGTCCACACAAATTTTCACATCGTCAACCTTATGCTAAAATAACTTGCAACTGACAAATATATTACAGGAAAAATCTGTTGTATGTTGTTTTCAATGTATTTATAAGCAATTTTTTTTTGTAGAAACGAGATAAATGATTACAAATACAAATTTGATGTACACCTCGTTGTGCTCCGTGTTTTTTCGTGTTTTCACGGTCTCTTACGTGCTAGAACTTTAATTTGTGCCAGAGACCTTATACGATACATCCCTCTAGCGCTTGGAACCAATCTTGGGGAGAAAATAGTATATACTGAGTCATAAAGGAGGATTAGTGTGCACTACCTGGCAGAGTTTACTCCCAGAGGGTAAACATAAGCCTAGTGTGCCGTGTGCAAAATAATAATAATAGAACTTTTCTTTGTCAGAAGAAAGAAAGTCTCCCTGATAATATTGTGTATACAGTGTTATAGTGTATACTACAGTGGCACCCTAGTATATAGATAATAATTGCTAAAGTGTCATTTAAAACAGGTGTAATTGAAACTGAAGTGATAGGCCTAAAAAGGCTTACCACACAGGTCAGCTGTTTTAATAATCTTCTTGGCCTGCTAGTGTACCCCGCATATAATCTAGTGATACCAGTGAATAGGAGAATACAGTGTTGTAGTAGCGACTAACCAGTAATATAATGGTACTTATGGAGTGGAGAGTCTTCCATTAGTTTTTTCTCCATTCTTGAAATACTAGACGTATACAGTGAAATTCATATAACCTGTAATTACCAGCGGTCGCAATATACACAACGAAAAGCAAATATTACTCCAGAAAAAGCGTCTTTCCTCCAATAATTTCACCAATCAACTATAGTGATAATATAGCATTTGTTGTGGTGGAGACGGAAAAAATCTAGATAAGCTAGATACAGTGATCGATAAACCTTCAGGCTGTAAATAAAGGTTGAGGTCTCGACCGTTCATCACAGTAGGAGCTGCCAGCAATCACCGGTTCTTCAACACGCAAGTTATACTTTTGTATCAATCTAATCACATATTACTTGGTTAAATAATTTCCAGTAGTTCCTTCATGTGTTAGCCCAAATCACCGACCCACTGATCAGATCCGACTGGTTCCAAACCCTTGACTGGTCCGAACCCTTGACCGGTTTCAAACTGATTCATTGGACAATAAAGCAGTGTAAACAGACGGGGTTTTAGGCGCCCTTATCAAACACAAAAAATAAATATAAAACAGGAATGTACACCAGTAAGTTGTCCTAATATACAAGTACAGTTAGAAATAGAAATACAAATAGCCAGATCTTCACTTTAAGGAGGTTATTAGTAGAAAATTCAAGGGGTTACTAATAGAACTATAGTAAATCAACCGTTCAAATCACAATATGAAGCCCTGTGTAGTCTGCAGTAAATCAAACAAACGGGCTTCCCCATAGATTACTTGCCATTTTTGTGAAAATTGGTGTCACACCCCTTGTGCAGATATCCAAGAACAATCTACAAGCAATATTAAATCAGAGAAGTGTTTTTGGGTATGCCCAAATGAGATCAATCTGTGGACTAAAATCACATTGGTATTATAAGAGGATAACATCAAAGCAGCCTTCATAGAAAAACCTGGAAGCATTCTATAACAGATGGGGAAAAAAAAGTCTGGGCTGGATGGTATCGCCCTTGGTGCTGGCCAGGTAGTCAGAAACTGTAAGGCTGGAAGTGCTGTTCTAGTAGACAGTAATGGTGAAACTGGAGGTGCTGTCCTGGGAGACAGTAATTGTGAGGATGGAGGTGCTGTCCAGGTAGTCAGTAAATGTACACATGAGGGAATGCATATAAATGACCTCGAGGGAGACAGGAGCTGTAGTGGGGAAACAAGTGTAGTCAAGGACAAGATAAAACCAATATTACAAACTAGTAATACCACAGGAGATAGCAAACAAGGGGACTCCACTAGCAATAGTGAGGATATATTACCAGAAACAACTGGTGAGAGCTCCATTGTTAGTGCTAGTGAGGTTAGGAATGAGACAGGTAAACATGCACCAACAAGGAATACAGTCACAGAAACCCAAGGCAAATGGAAACCAAGCCTGTGCACATACTATGCACTTGGAATCTGCAGGTATAGGAAATCTGGAAAAAACAGATGGGACATGCAACTTTGACCACCCTAGAAAATGCAGTGCCCATATGACAACAGGAAAATGCAAACTCACTTCTTGTAAGCTTTTTCACCCAGAAATATGTCCCTCTTCAGTACAGGAAAGATTGTGCTATAACTTAAATTGCCAGGCACACCATCTAAAGGGGACAAAAAGATACAAAACATCCAAGCCATGGGAAAAGCTGGGTAGCCACAGCCACTCAAGAGGTTTTTTAGTGCCAGGAAGGAAAAAAAAAAAGCTGGCAGGAAATGGCAGAAATCGTTCGCCAAATCCAGTCATTTCCGGAGTGGAACCACAGTCGATGGCCTCCACTCCAAACCAACAGATACAGATACTAGTGCCGGAAAAAAAGTCCCCCCCCCAGTACCACCAATACCACCAGTCCGATGACATTCTTCTTTGCAAATATACAGGGTCTAAAGCCAGCAACGAACAACAAAATACCTTTCATCCGGGGACTGCTTGCAGAAGCAAATGCAATGTTCGCGGCTTTCACAGAGACCCACATAAAGGATCACTTGGACAACGAAATATGGATCCCAGGCTACAACCTATACAGATGCGACAGAGTGAACAGGCAAAAGGGGGAAGTTGGCCTGTATATCGCAGAGTCACTTGTTTGCACAGAACTGCTTAATGCCTCAAATGATGTAGTGGAAGTTTTAGCAGTAAAGATCGAGAACCAAAACCTAGTCATTGTGGTAGTCTACAAGCCTCCGGATGCAACGTCCCATCAATTCCAGGAACAGCTGTTAAAAATTGACCACTGTCTGGAAAATCTGCCAGCTTCTGCCCAAAACATGTTGCTCCTGGGGGATTTCAACTTGAGGCACCTAAAATGGAGGAATATAGCAAATAATGTTGTTGCAGTGATAACACCAGGAGGCAGCTGTGACGAGAACTCACACACACACACGAGCTTTTAAATCTCTGCACAAAATTCAACTTAAACCAGCAAATAATAGAGCCTACTAGACTGGAGAATACACTAGACCTCATCTTCACTAACGATGATGATCTGATACGAAATGTCACCATATCAAAAACAATATACTCAGATCACAACATAATCGAGGTTCAGACATGTATGCGCGGAACCCCAGACCGACGAAATGAGATTAGTTATGAGGAGCCTTCACCAAATTCAACTTCAATAACAAGAACATAAAGTGGGACCAAGTAAACCAAGCCCTCAATGATATAAGCTGGGAAGATAAACTAAGCAACACAGACCCCAACTTATGCCTAGAACAGATTAACTCGGTGGCACTCGATATATGCTCAAGAAAAAGGAGTAGATGTAAAATAAAAAGAGACAGGCGCTCCCTTTCCAGGCGACGGAAAAGAATAACAGAGCGGCTAAAAGAGGCCAATATATCGGAAATGCGTAGAGAACAACATCCAGTATTGGGCCCCTACTTAAACAAGATGGGTCCTACACAGATGACAGCAAGGAAATGTATGAGCTACTCATGTCCCAATATGACTCAGTTTTTAGCAAGCCGCTAACCAGACTAAGAGTCAAAGATCAAAATGATTTTTTTATGAGAGAGCCACAGAATTTGGTTAACACAAGCCTATCTGATATTATCCTGACGCCAAATGAGTTCGAACAGGCGATAAATGACATGCCCATGCACTCTGCCCCAGGGCCAGACTCATGGAACTCCTTGTTCATCAAGAACTGCAAGAAGCCACTATCACATGCTTTTAACATCCTATGGAGAGAGAGCATGGACACAGGGGTCGTCCCACAGTTACTAAAAACAACAGACATAGCCCCACTCCACGAAGGGAGCAGTAAAACAATAGCAAAGAACGACAGACCGATAGCACTGACATCCCATATCATAAGAATCTTTGAAAGAGTCCTAAGAAGCAGGATCGCCACCCATCTAGATACCCATCAATTACACAACCCAGGGCAACATGGGTTTAAAGCAGGTCGCTCCTGTCTGTCTCAGCTACTGGATCACTACGACAAGGTCTTAGATGCACTAGAAGGCAAAAAGAATGCAGATATAATATATACAGACTTTGCAAAAGCCTTCGACAAGTGTGACCATGGCGTAATAGCGCACAAAATGCGTGCTAAAGGAATAACAGGAAAAGTTGGTAGATGGATATATAATTTCCTCACAAACAGAACACAAAGAGTAGTAGTCAACAGAGTAAAGTCTGAGGCTGCTACGGTGAAAAAAGCTCTGTTCCACAAGGCACAGTACTCGCTCCCATCTTGTTCGTCATCCTTGTATCTGACATAGACAAGGATGTCAGCCACAGCACCGTGTCTTCCTTTGCAGATGCCACCCGAATCTGCATGACAGTGTCTTCCATTGCAGACACTGCAAGACTCCAGGCGGACATCAACCAAATCTTTCAGTGGGCTGCAGAAAAGAATATGAAGTTCAACGATGAGAAATTTCAATTACTCCAGTATAGTAAACATGAGGAAATTAAAACTTCATCAGAGTACAAAACAAATTCTTTCCACAAAATAGAGCGAAACACCAACGTCAAAGACCTGGGAGTGATCATGTCGGAGGATCTCACCTTCAAGGACCATAACATTGTATCAATCGCATCTGCTAGAAAAATGACTGGATGGATAATGAGAATCTTCAAAACTAGGGATGCCAAGCCCATGATGACACTCTTCAGGTCGCTTGTTCTATCTAGGCTGCAATATTGCTGCACACTACCAGCACCTTTCAAGGCAGGTGAAATTGCTGACCTAGAAAATGTACAGAAAACCTTCACGGCACGCATAACGGAGATAAATCACCTAAGTTACTGGGAGCGCTTGAAGTTCCTGAACCTGTACTCCCTGGAATGCAGGCGGGAGAGATACATGTTTATATACACGTGGAAAATCCTAGAGGGACTAGTATCGAACTTGCACACAGAAATCCTTCCTGACGAAAGCAAAAGACTCGGCAGACGATGCAACATCCCCCCAATGAAAAACAGGGGTGTCACTAGCACGTTAAGAGACAATACAATAAGTGTCAGGGGCCCGAGACTGTTCAACTGCCTCCCAGCATACATAAGGGGGATTACCAATAGACCCCTGGCTGTCTTCAAGCAGGCACTGGACAAGCACCTAAAGTCGGTACCTGACCAGCCGGACTGTGGCTCGTACGTTGTATTACGTGCAATCAGTAGTAACAGCCTGGTTGATCAAGCTCTGATCCACCAGGAGGCCTGGTCACAGACCGGGACGCGGGGGCGTTGACCCCCGGAACTCTCTCCAGGTAACTACAGGTATAGGTATTATTGAAGTTACATCTGGCAGCGAGGAGCTGCATTCAATGCAGCACACGTATATGTGAACGCTTATCATTATTAAATTTAGTTTAATTTTCAAAATTATTACTTTAATTAATAATGTATATCATGAAGCTTGCAGTCACGCAGTCCTCCCATTGTATTTTTTGACGAGCCGCCTCTAGTGATGAGGGCATCAAACGAGTTAGGCAAGGAAAAACTGGATATCAGATTAGAGGGAAGGAGTATGGATGAAGTGAATGTGTTCAGATATTTAGGAGTGGACATGTCAGCGGATGTGTATATGAAAAACGAGGTAAACCGTAGAACTGATGAAAGGAAAAAAGTGCGTAGTGCATTGAGGTATCTGTGGAGACAAAGAACATTATCCATGGAGGCAAAGATGGAATGTATGAGAGTATAGTAGTACCAACACTCATATATGGGTGTGAAGCATGGGTTGTGAATATTGCAGTGAGGAGGAGCCTGGAGGCAGTGGAGATTTCGTGTCTGAGGGCGATGTGTGGTATAAATGTTATGTAGATAATTTGTAGTTTGGATATTAGGAGGTGTGGGTGTTACTAAAAATATTAGACAGAGGACTGAGGAAGGGTTGTTGAGGTGGAGCAATATAAGATGATTTGGAGGGTGAATATACCTACAGTGGAGGGAAGGCGAGGTAATGGGCACCCTAGGAAAGGTTGGAGGGAGAAGGTTTTGTTTGCGAGGGCCTTGGGCATATAGAGATGTTTGTGAGCAACATTTGTGAAAGGATTCAGGGAAATCGGTTAGCCAGACTTGAGTACTGGAGGTGAGAAGTACAGTGCCTGCACTCTGAAGGATGGGTGGCAATATTGGCAGTTTAGAAGGACATCTGAACTTAGTATCAGCACCTCTAGCAAGACAGTGATGGAGTGAGTGATGGAGAAAGTGTTTCTTCTCTTTTTGGGTCACTACCTAGGTGGTGTGTGTTAAAGACAAAATACTACATATTTTTTCAACAAACCAGCAATATACATACCTTAATTCAGTGTAACAATTCTAGAAGGTTTGTATCAGAAATCTCACACCAAAAAATGAAACCATCACCAATCAATAGCTGTCTTGCCAGAAATATGCAGATACCACCATTCAAATGATTCTCTGAACTGCAACATCCACACTGCTCCTTCAGAAGGCAGGCAGTGATTTCTCACTTCCAGGACTCAAGTCCATCTAACTGGTTTCCCTGAATCCCTTCATAAGTTACCTTGCTCACACTCCAAAAGCACATAAAATTTCATAGTCTACATGTCTTAGTGAAATGCATATCAATGTACACTAAATAATTTTTCTTTTGCTTGTGTTACTTTAAACATTACACTTAAAGGAGACTTCTAAAACTGCTGTTTCCTATACAAACCTATGTTAACTGATAATTAGTTCATGTAATTATTTTTTCAACAGACTCATTAACTGTAAAATTATAAATGAGCCTGGTTATGATAATAAAGAAGTATTTCTAAGTAAGAGATATATCATTCAACACATAAAATTTAAAATCAATAAAAAACAAAACAAAACTGAGCTTCTTGTGACTTACCCCAGCAGGAACATGATAGCCACTCAGAAGCATATCCTTCTGAAGGACACGCTTCACAACTTCACCAACTGGATAAAATCTGTTAAAAGTCATTACATTTGTAATTACACAGTAATGCAAAATAATTTAGTCTTCAAAAATACTAAAATATCCAGAAAGAACTAAATATAGGAGAAAATGTAATCTGATCAATCAATATATTTTCACATGACACATCGTTTGTACAAAACTGGATGACATTACATCTCTCATATATAAAGCTCCCTTAGTTATGCAGAGGCTTCTGGGCAAACTTAAAACTAACTTACATCTAGAAGGACTATAGTATTTTACATATATGTATACAAGACAATAATGATATTTACAATAAAATATATTACATGAATATTAAACAAATGTATGCATATGAAGCAGATAAAATCAACAGGTTAAATGGGAGAGGAGTGTGGAGGAAGTGAATGTGTTCAAATATTTGGGAATGGACTTTTCAACAGATGGGTCTATGAAGGACGAGGTGGATCACAGAAATGACAAATGAAAAAAGGCGAGTGATGCACTGAGGGAATATATGAGCGTATAGTGGTATCAACGCTCTTATATGGGTGTGAAGCATGGGCTGTGAATGTTGCAGGAAGGGGGGGACATGGCGGCTAAGTCGCGTGGCGTGTGAATTAAAAAAAATAATAAAAATACGAAAATTAAGCTAGAACAACATATAGAACATACATAGAACAACACTCCAATATGAATGAATAATATTTGGCATATTACCGAGCGGTAGGCATTGGTCAGCTGGAGGTAGCAAGTTGTTGTTAAAATGGTAGGGGATTATCCTACGTCCTCTTTTCCCCTCCCTAGAGAAAATGGAGTATTGCACAGGGCTAACTGTGGTATACACTTGCAATGTACCATAAAAGTGAAGAAAAGCTATTTTCTCATTTTTTTCCCAGCGTGCACTAGTTTTCGTCAATTATCTGGGAAGTTATTCATTTACATTGTTAACCCTCTGAGGGTCCGTCACGTAGTTCTATGGTTTTGAAGCAAGGGTCCAAGCCATAGAACTTGATGTTGCCATCACGTGGGCATGCAGTGCCAAATTTGCAGTCTTATATCTCGGTAAGTACTGGTCCTAAAATTTTGTTTTTGATCTTATTACATGCAGAAAATTACCCTCCTTTATTAAAAAAAAAATATTCGGAGCACTGGCAGTGAAAACGTAGATCTACGTTAGAGTGCCTTAACTCTCTCAGTGCCCAGACTCCTGATCCCTCACTCACTCTCCCTGTCGAGAAATTAAAAAAAAAAGAATATTTTTTTCTCATGAAATGATCATCTCTTCCCGATGATAATGACACCAAAAGTATGAAATTTAATGAAAAACTTACGAAATTACGCTCTCGCAAAGTTAGCGATCTCGGCGATATTTACGCATGGGCGATTTCGCCCAATTTGAGCCCTATTTATGGCCAGTTCCATTGTTCCAGTTGGCTAAAATTCTAGTTATTTCGTTAGAGCTCCATTTGTTCTATTAAATGAGTACAAGAAACTGCCCATTTACTGATTTCAACTACCCAACAAAGTGGTCAGAAATTGGCAATTTGACCAATTTCACACAAATTTCAAAAGATGCCAGTTTCAAAATAGGGTCCAGAATAAACAAGGAAGACATTCCTGGCACTAAAACAACATTTTCTCTGTTCATTAGTCACGTCACCAGACCCTTCTTATATTACTCTTGCTTTCCATTTTGAATTTTTATTCTCACAAAAAAATAGAAAATTTACTGTTATGCAGACTACTGCATTATTATAATAATTGTATAATTCGTGACTGCATATTACACTGGCCAGTTGGACATGTATTGGACAGTAACGTTATTTGTTTACTCTTGAACATCGGCAAAAATCAAACATTTCCATTACTTTGAGCTCAATTTCCAGGTACTTTTCATAGAGAAGCCAATCAAAACCATGTCCATTTCTGTAATATATCTTCAATTCTATCAAATGAGACCAAGAAAATGAGAATACAATCATAAATACCTTACAAAAAATACGCTGTAAAGTCGCTGTTTTAAACCAAAAACACTGTCGGAGTTTTTCCTCATGCACTGGGTGCTTCAGATTTTTTTTCATACTGAGCACACTGACAACTTGGACCCATTCTCTCATATGTAGGTCTTCCAGCTTTCTCCTGCTAGATTTGAAGCCGCTAGAATTTTGGCGAAGTACTACGGCACCAACACTGGCTTGTAAGCCATAGTACTACGGCACCAACACTGGCTTGTAAGCCATAGTACTACAGCACCAACACTGGCTTGTAAGCCATAGTACTACAGCACCAGCAGTGAAAGGGTATTAATGTAGGGTGAGAAGTGATTAGTGCTTATTTTAAGAAGTTGATTGTGGTAGGTATGGTAGTCAGCCAGGCCACCACACCCCATCCCACCCACACCTAATATACTTCGACATTTAACCCTTTCACTGTTACGACTCCTGATCCTGAACTCACTCTCTGTGTTGAAACATATTCGAAAAAAAAAATTTTTTTTCTTAACAAAATCTTAAGAATATTTTTGTGAGTGTTTTAAAAGAAAAAAAAAATTGCACTCAGTACTTAGCGAGATATAGAGGCGAGGAGTTGACAGAAAATGAACAGCTTCTGGCAACATTGACAAGTGCTGCTCACTCGGTAATATTAATTTTACTTTTATTTTTTTTTCTTTTCTTTTCTAATATTTTATTTTTCAAGTAACTTTTGTGGCCTGTGAGACCAATATAATGCATAATGTATATATATCCACTCATTACATGCAACACAATTGTGGAAAATTTTTTGATTTTCCGAAGCTATAGTGCCTAATAGGTGTTTAATGTGTCGATATGAGACAAAAATGTATTTGACAATAGGATAGAACCAAGAGTTCCCTTTGCGCATGAGCGGATGTGCAGGGGTATAGGTCGCACTGGGCCACAGGGAGGCGGGAGTGCTTTGAATGTAGTGAGGAGGCTGGGAAAGTATGGAACCAGGAAACTGGCGTTCACGGCGGCCTAAGGATTAATATAGGCCTCATTTCATAATAGGAAGTGTCGTAACTGTTCCTGGTGGAGAGTGAGGGAACGTGATTTACGGGACCACCGTAATAAAGTGGTAAAATGAGTGAATAAGGGTAGGACCGGGTGACTGGCACATCACCATGGACTGTGTCCTGGGGAAAATTACCCTTGGTTTAGTCATCGCTCATCGGTCTCAGATCTTAATGGAGTGATCTCTAATGTGTATAATAATTATGAGACGTTAAATCGTCTTGTGAATTGTAATGTAATTAATGATAATAATGCTAAGTTAAGAGAATGCGTGAAGTGAAATAAGTCGCCTTGCTCCGAGTGAACACGTTAGACCTCGTTGCTCCCGTGACGAGGAAAGTGAAGTCCATTGAGTCACGACTTCTAAACCGGGACAAACCAACGGATACCTCGTCCTGCTGGAATGAGAACCGTGTCGGTGTAGCAGGACATCGAAATGAGATGGTGAATGGAGGAAATAAGGAGTATCAATCACCCACAGTTAAGTAACCCTTCTAGTTATAGCAGACCGATGCTGGCCAGTTAGGTATGGTGTAATTGGATAGGTTATGAGTGATCCAGCTACATCAAGTGACCACCAGAGAATATCTGGTAAGTGGTGGGATTATATACAAGTGTTTTTCCTTGATGGATGTATCCAAGTGTAACCTACCCCCCCCCTTCATTCAGATACACTAATATCATCTATACAGTCCACAATTAATTAGTAGCGCCGTACTTGTGGGTGCTATCCAATCCATACTGGTCTCAGATAGATATGGATAAGATTGTGAGGTCGAAGGGACCACCTGCCGTGACCAGGGGTGGTTAAGTTTTCTCACATGTCTACACGGGGTGACTACGGTAAACAATATGGTTGTCTCCCAATGAGATTACTTGTATGTATATAATGTTGAGGTACATACAGGTAAGCACCCCTATAAAATTTTCCATAACAATAACTGCACTAACATTGTTATCATTATATTGTTGACAAACCATGTTTACACAAACCCACCCTTCCTTCCCCATCACCCACCCTTCCTTCCCCATCACCCACGCTGCCTTCCCCATCACCCACGCTGCCTTCCCCATCACCCATGCTGCTTTCCCCATTACCCACACTGCTTTGCCCACCACCCATGCCGTCTTCCTCACCACCCACATGGAAATAAGTCACTTTGACTTTTTTGGGTTATTCTAGGTAATCTGTGTTGCTATGTTTACACAAACCATCTCAGCCTTCCCCACCACCCACATTGTCTTCCCCACAACCCACGCTGTCTTCCCCACCAACTATGCTGTCTTCCGGTGTCTTCCGGTGCTCAGGTGTCTTCTGGTGCTCCGGTGCCATTGGTGCCACTGGTGTTCCGGTGGCCTGGTGGCTATAGCTCTCGCTTCACACACGGAGGGCCCGGGTTTGATTCCTGGCAGGGTGGAAACATTTGGACGTGTTTCCTTACACCTGTTGGCCTGTTCACCTAGCAGCAAATAGGAACCTGGGTGTTAGTCGACTGGTGTGGATTGCATCCTGGAGGACAAGACTGAGGATCCCAATGGGAATAAGTTAGGCAGTCTTTGATGACGCACTGAATTTCTTTGGTTATCCCGGGTGGCTACCCCTCCAGGGTTAAAAATCCCATCGAAATCTTATTTTATTATCCCCACATGGAAATAAGTCACTTTTTCACTTATTTCGCTAAAGTACACCATTATTAATGATTGTATTGAAATGATTTTCACTGACAATATAAAACAAAGTGTGTTTGAATATTTGCTGATTCTTTTTTTGGAATATATAAAATATTTTTGATTTTGTGGGAGGTAAAATGCAGATATTTTGGTGAATGCCAAAAAGTATTTCAAATGTATTTTTTTCCATGATAATAAGATATATTAGATGAAACATGTGCATCCAAAATTCGTGTCAGATGTATTCTAACGGTTGGGATTGTCGGAAGTGCCACTCGAAGTGCCATTTTGTCATGCCTTGCTGCCATATATGAAAGGTCAT